CGTGGTGGCTCTTGGTCATCTTCAAGTCTTGTCTCACATCTTGCAACTCGGTTGCTAAGTGCTTCAATTTGTAAACTCAATTGCTGGATGCCTGCTAGAATTGCATCATCCCTTGGATGAGTGCGATCCTCCCTTTGATTCACACTTCCCTGGCCTGAGCCTGACATTTTTTTTTTAACCTGCAAGAAAATGTTAGAGATAAAAAGAAATCTCACTAGTCACTCCCTCACGTTTTCTGCTCAAAGTGTTTGTCACTCCTCTCGTGTTTAACTCAATTTCGGCTTTTTTCTTCCCTCAATTAAACTCACACACTCTTGCCTTTTACCTCTCGTTTTCTTCTAGCAAGCTCTTTTTTTCAGACTTGAATCCAGTCTCACAAGCTCCTCACAACAATCGATAAACCACCAAGCAAGATCAAATTCAGCAATATACCGCTCAACTCAGCAATTCAGCAAATTTTCGCTAAATTCGGATTCAGATTTAATTTCTGCTACTGAATTTTATTTTTTTTTCTATTCGGTCCAACTATCAATGAAAAAAAAAAAAAAAAACGAGTCGTCCTCTTGAGATTTTTTTTTTTCGATTTTTTTTTTTGGCTTTTTTTTTTGCCGATTTTTTTTTTGGCTTTTTTTTTTTTTTGACGAACTCAAGTACAATATAAAAAAAAAAAACAACTAGGACCGAAAACCCTAAATCAAAGTTGAAATCACAGCAAGAACAAATTCAGAACCCTAATTCGATTAATAACGAAACCCTAATTCTATAAACCCTAGTTTCTATAAACCCTAGATTGATGAATGAAAAGCAGTAAAAGTAGGATAACTAGACCTTGTAGAACCAGCTCTGATACCAGATGATATGAATCTGTGCGGAAGATGATCGTTCTACGAAGATCTATGAGTTACGAATTGCTGACCTCAACCCCCAATCGAACCTGTGATTGGTAATATCGGTATGAACACGACCTGTTGACGAACCTGTATCAACCAATCCACGCTATAACGCCACGAACAAGAGAATTCGCGATCTTGCTCGATAAGTTCAATTCGATTGCCACAAGGGAGCCTTGATAAGATCTAGTCCTCAAAAGAACTCAAGAAGAAAACTTCTCTCTATAAAATTATGTCTCCTCTCTTAGAAATCTATAAGCAACCTTATATAGGGTGCTAACCCTAATCCTAATCCTACTAGGATTAAAATTACAAAAATAACCTTAATTGCTAAAATTCGTCCAAAAATGGAAAAAGGCCTAAAAGTTCATTTAAACGACTCCAAATCGCTAAAAAACATCATCAATCACTACTAAAGTAGTGAGTATTGATCAGCGGCCCGTTTCCAAGCGTCCATCCAAATTTGAGCCAATTCGGTATTCGTCAATTCTAAGCTCCTTCGAATTCATTTGGACCAAGAGTAATCATGTTGCGCCAAGGAGCTTCGGAATCTTCAAGTCTCGAATCCAGATTGTCTCCATTCCAAATATCTTGAACCATGATACCGACAGCTTGTTTGAATTCCTTCGCTCTCGCTCGAGTGATCGGGCCTAGCGGATAGAATAACAGGTCCCTAGCACCTCCTCCTCGATAGGGTTCGATGTCCACATCAATACCGGTCCGAATGATATGGAGTTTGAAGCGGATGAAGTGGAGTCCGATCTGGAGCCTCCTCCGGGTTATGGCCAGCTGTGGTGATGGGTTTGGATATCCCATCTTTTTGACCGCCCCTTTTTGATAGTGAAACTAGGTTAATCCGACCACCAAATTCTTTTTTGTTTATGTGTGGTCTTTTAGGAAGTGGCCTTGTGATAGACTTGTCTATTGTATTTTCCTAAGGTTAACGATGTGTTTATAAAATGGCTTCATTGGTTTCCTTACTATCTCGTTTTATTCATTGTTGTTAGGTGATTCAAGTTTGCTTCCGCGTACGTTTGTTTGATCAACGTTATTTATTTGGGTCGGCGACATGTCTTGGGGCGTTGCCATTACACGACCATTGATGAGATGTCAGCGCGCTCGAGGGTCGGGGCGTGACACGGCCGGCGGCAAGAGACGGCGAATGGCGGGAGGCGGCAGCCGACAAGTGGGCGGCGATGGGCAGCGGGTGGGCGACCGGCTAGTAGCGAGGGCGATCGATGAAAATTGTAACTTCTTATTTTTGTTCTAAATCTATTTCTGAAATCAAAATTTATTCCGGAAATAGAAAAATGAAATTGCGTTACCCAAGAGATTTATGTTTCAAACTTATTTTTAGAACAAAAAAATAGAAACATAATGATTATCATTCATAACCTTGCTCTTGCACATACCCATACCAATTTTCTGGAGTTTCGGCGTCGATCAATTGTTTCTTTACGCTATAATTTGTGGTGAAGGCGATCGGCTATCAGCAATTTCAAACATTTTTTTTGGGGGAAAATTCCAGGTAAGGATCTCAAATTATGCGACTATCGATCGGTGTGTTCAAGTCCTTATTTAAAATTTTTTCGAGAAAACCTGTTTTTATTTGAAAATTTCCTCCTTTTTTGTTCATCCTCGGTCTGTTGTTGGAAAAGGCACAAATGAGATGAGAATGCGGCGGTCCTTCTCTCCACTGCAAGCCAACAACCTCCTTCAACACTGTCGCGACTCCGGATCGCTCGCCCAGTGCAAGCAAGTTCATCAGCGCATCGTCCAGCACGGCCTCCACGCCGACCAATTCGTGGCCACCAAGCTGACGCAGTCGTACGCGGATCTGGACGATCTCGCATCGGCCGAGAAGCTCTTCCACAAGTTGTTGCGACCCAACGTGTTCGCTTGGACTGCCGTTCTCGCGTACCGTTCGAGGAACGGGATGTTCGGAGATTGTGTGGGCACGTACTGCGAAATGAAGCGCAGGGGTGTTGTGCCCGACGACTACGTGTTCCCGAAGATCTTGAGGGCCTGCGCTCAGTTGGGGTGCTCGGAGGTGGGCGCATTCGTGCACAAAGACGTGGTTGCGTGCGCTTGTGAGTCGAACGTGCAGGTTTGTAATTCCTTGATCGACATGTACGGGAAATGCGGGGATGTCGAGAGTGCGAGGCGGGTGTTCGATGAAATGGGTGACAGAGATTTGCTGTCGTGGAACTCCATGATTTCGGGGTATATTTGGAACGGGTTGCACGGTCCGGCCGTTGAGTTGCTTCCGGTCATGAGGTTGGATGGTCTCGACCCGGATGTTGTGACTTGGAATATGGTAATGGATGCTTATTGCCAGATGGGGCTTTTGGATGAGGCTAGGAATGTGTTGAAACAAATCGAAGAGCCTAACATCATTTCATGGACCACTTTGATTTCGGGTTATTCGAAGATTGGTAAGCATAAGACCTCCCTGGTGGTTTTTCAGGATATGGTAAACGTGGGCAAGGTTTACCCTGACACCAGGACTCTGTCAAGTGCTCTAACCTCGTGCCGTCATCTCGGGGCTCTTGTAATTGGTAAGGAAATTCACGCCCATGGGATCAAAACAGAATCGAGGAGTTCATTTTACAACTCAGCCGGTGCTGCCCTGTTGACAATGTATGCAAAATGCGGGAAATTCCAGGAGGCAATGAGCATATTTGAACAGATGGACAAATCCGATTTTGTCACTTGGAATGCAATGATTCTTGGTTTTGTTGACCTGGGATATGGAAACTCAGCAATTGAGTGTTTCATCGAAATGCTAAACCGGGGAATGGCTTTCGATCAAATTACTATATCTACTCTTCTGCCAGTATGTGACTTAACCTGGGGAAAGCAGATTCATGCCTACATCCAGAAAAACAGCGCTCTCTCTGGTGTAATTGTGTGGAATGCACTTATACACATGTACTCCAAACGGGGATGCATCCAATCCGCTCTTTCCATCTTTTCGAACATGGGGACGAAAGACATAATTTCTTGGAACTCAATTATTGGAGGTTTTGGTATGCACGGGCATGGTGAAGCTGCTCTCCAGTTGTTGCAAGAGATGAAAGTTTCTGGCTTTCTGCCCAATTCTGTGACTCTTACTTCTGCACTGTCTGCTTGCAGTCACTCGGGCCTCGTACACGAGGGACTTCGACTTTTCAACAGCATTCCAAGCTTCGGCCTCACTCCAACAATGGAGCATTTTGCTTGTGTTGTTGATATGCTAGCGCGTGCTGGGGAGCTTGAGGAAGCTGTGGAGCTTATTAGGAAAATGCCTTCTCTTCCTGACAAGCGTATTTGGGGGGCTTTACTCGCGGCTTGTCAAGCTTATCACAATGTTGATGTTGCTTGCCTGGCTGCAGAGGCATTGATCCGCTTGGAACCTGACCATGCTGGACATTATGTAACATTGGCAAATATATATGCGAAAGCAGGCAGATGGGATGATGCTGTTAGAGTGAGGAAGGTGATGGAAGGACATAATTTGGTCAAGCCATTTGGATATAGTTGGGTTGAAGGTGAAGATCAACGACATGATGGACGGAGTGACAGACGAAGTGACTTGTCTCATGCGTTATAATTTTCTTCCCCTGTGAGGTGGTTGGTGCATGTCTTTTGGGATCTAAATCAGCATGTACTCTGCCACTCTATTGAAGTAGGTTGGACAACATAGACATGGTTTTGCAACCTTACTGTGGATCGGATACGCGTGGGAGCAACAATGGTTGAAACAATTTATTTTTGAAGAAGGAAAAGCCATAAATGGCTTAAAGGGATTTCGTTGGATACCATGTTAAGGTAAGATGTGCAATAATTGTTTTTAAAAGCTTATACTTGAGAATGTTGCATGATATAGTTTGCACAATAAATCTCAGATTTTTAACTTAGCTTCAGACTAAGTTCATTTCACTCATCAAAAAACTAGAATTCTGAAAAGGAAAGCAGGTGAATGTCCCATAACCATCTGATAATCGGTAGAAAATATGAACTATGCACTGTATGATAAACTTTCGATGCAATCATTGCACTTGTATCGATTTAGGCATGCCTAAAGACGATATGTACATGGAGAGAAGAAAAAAACGTATCTAGCAAGATTCATGCCTCTATATTTCCTAACTGCGACGGCCTCTGAGTATTTGCTGCAACTTCTGTGTCCTCACAATTTGTGGCCTCCCTAATTCTAATTACCTTCTTGTGAAATTGGGAATGCAGAGAAGGGACATATGTTGGGCTTGCAAAGGGACGGTACTCTGGAAAGAGGCGACCTGTCTTGTAACGGATACCACAAGCATTGCACAGAGTTTTGGGCCCCATGGGCCCCGCCCTCCACATTGGGGACTCGGTTGCTGCACAATGCACACATCTTCTCAGTTGATCCGGCTGCTGTAGCGACTGATCCTGCTGCTTTCTTCTCCTTTTGGATGGGTCCCGTGGCTTCTCATGGAGAGAAGATTCTGAGCATGGTTTAAGAGGGAGTGTTAGAGTTGAAAGCAGTAGAGGATTAGAGCTGGTGAAAGTATAGCGACTCTAAGATTACAACTAGAAACTATTGCTTACCACAAGGGCGTTTCTCTGGGTAAGAGAGGCTGGAGGTGTTGGGTGCCAAGATTTCAGACGGGTTAAAGCTTCTGTTGATCTCTAGGACTGAGACCGGGCTTGGAGCCTCAAATAGCATGGCTTGTCGGCCACCTGGAGTATTATCCTCAACTTGGCTTGGCAGAACTTGTTGCATACGTCTTTGCTCGACCTGAACACGAAATCAGAGTTCAAGAAAAGAAGAAGGTCCATAGCCTCCACTGGGTTTGATGATTAATCGAATGAGCATAGAGATCTTATGATGAACACAGAGAATGATGATAACGGGACAGTCGCACTTCCAGGCAGTCCTTGGAGTGTCCAAGGAGTGGAGGACATTTACCCTAAGTGAAAAGCCACACAGCAAGTTCATCCACTTCCAGGCTGTCCTTGGAGTGTCCAAGGAGTGTAGGACATTTACCCTATGTGAAAAGCCACACAGCAAGTTCATCCACTTCCAGGCAGTCCTTGGAGTGTCCAAGGAGTGTAGGACATTTACCCTATGTGAAAAGCCATACAGCAAGTTAATCCATTTACGATGAGTAATCCTCCTCTCCAACAATTAAAATTTCTTTCCCAAAAGCAACTTCAGTCACAGACAGCTAAAGTGACCGTGAATCTATTGCTTCCGTGGCAATTAAAATCCTTGCAACGATGCACACCACTGTCTATTGAAACAGATACAGCTTGTTGAACGCATTGTTCTTTTCTTTTTCGATTGACTGTTGAATGTCGTGTTCACTTTGGCACTGCAGTGCTACTTTTTACTCCTATCTTTACCCAATCCACAAATTCATTGATTTCTCTCTGTTGGACTCCAAACTTTAAGTTCACAAATCTATTCCGCGCTGCCCGCCAGAACTTGACACTTCCCCAATTCCACAGCCACAGTTATTTCCTCCATAGTAATCTTTTCCATGCACTACAAAGTGAAGTGACTCTAGGACCCAAAAGAAATGCTAAAAATTGCAATTTTTTTTCATAGGTAACATGCTCACCTGAAAGGGTCTTCTTGGCAGTTTGGAAGCGTAATCGCACGAATTAGCACCAAATTCTTTTGTCCTAGTCCAACTCGTCGATGAGAATTCTGAAGAATGTTTCGGAAGTAATGCAGCATCCCTTTGTCCCGCTTTCCTTATATGGTCTTTAGTATCATCTTCATCACAGAAGAAATTCAACCAATCGAAGAATTCATCAGAGACATCAGTGAAGTTCGTCAAGAACCAAGAGCCAGACATACCCATGAAGTGACCTGTAGAAGAAAGTGTCGTCTTTGACTTTGCGCACATCAACACTAACGTTTAGACCGTCTTTACTTACCCACATATATATACATATACGAAAAAAAGGGAAGTTCTTTTTCGAATTGTGGATTATAAGGAAAAAAGATTCTACCCATTGACAGGTAAAATTGATATCAAGAATATGGATTATCACGTGTACTTACCTTATCCAATTAAAGATTAGAGTCATTGCCACTGCAACTCCCAGCAAGACCAAATCTTTGTTCCAGATAAATACTGGGATTATTCCCTTAATTGCGAAGAAATTGAGGATTCTTTGCAGGATCGGGAAATATTAACGCGCTGTTAATTTCATTGCGTTCCTACTTATTTCCCCTGAGAAGGGTTAATGAAAGTTTGAAGTATTTGGTAAATATCGAATCATGTTAAGTATACCGCGATGAGAAAATCGGATTAAAGTATTAAGTTCAGCGGTAGATTTCTATCAGGGACTGAATACTTATCCACTTGCTTGAATCGAAGGCACACTTATCATTCGACATGGGACCTATGTCGATCTTATAAACCAGATATTTAGTATTACATTGTAATGATAGGATACTACAATGGCCCTATACATGGGTTTGGACGACTTTTGAGTTTGAAAAATCCGTAATTAAATGAATTTTTCCTCTCCCTTGTGTGATTAAACTAATTTAAGTTTTTGCATTCTTTTTTCAATTTTCAATTTTAATGTTTAAGTACAGATTGGGTCTATCCAGTATATGTATATCATGCAAACGTGACCAAACATCATACGTGAAGATGCGACTAAGAGTACCAGAAGAGTGCGAGAAGCGAGCAGGACTCCCAATTGATGGAATGTGCATAAACAATTGAATATTATAAGATTAAGGAAGATGGAGAATATATGCTTGACCTCCATTGACGTCAAAACTAAGACCGAACGGAGAAAAACCACCGGCGTCCTATTTTTGGTCCCGTGATAAATGCGTTATGACAGTATACCGAATTTAAGCAACGATTTTGACCCAAATGTTGGTACGTGATTATCGGAGTCAATGAGAGTATGATACAGGATTTAAGCTTCAATTTCTCGTTCAACATTGATCCTGAACACCTGACCACGGACGACGTAATGATCTCCTTAGCTTTCAGGAAAGCTTTTGCTCATGCTCTGGTTTTCATCAAGGAGACATATGCAGCACAATGGAATGATTTTAAGCCTCTTAACTTGAGATTCAGTAGCTATCAATTCAACCCAAAATGGGATTACAATCACATTGAGGAATAGAGTGAAGGCTAAATTGAGAAGCAATGGTAAATAAATGACTACCTTCTCTCATAAAAGTAGAAAAATGTATCATCTAAAGATTGATTTTTTTTTTTTACAGACCTGAGCCAGGACCAACCTATCCCGACTTTAGTCTTTTCGATCCGTAAGATTTTTTTTTGAAATGCACTTACATTCGTATCTTCACTTTTGATGTTCTTCTCCTTGTATTTACTGAAAGAACACAGGAAATGAGCAGCAATATGGTGGGCAAGAATAAGAAAACGTGGCTCCGCTGTGAAGTGCCATATGCGCTGCTTATCATGCTCCCGAATATCTCCTGCAAGATAAAGTGACAAGGCGTTACTCACGCCATCGTGCTTATTCTAACACTAGGAAGACGGTGTTATTAAATATAACGGATTTTTTTTCCCTTTATATGGCTGCGTGGGGCTGAAAACTTTACTGTGAGAGTGGACTTCTTGGTTGTCCGTATGTGTTGCCGTGCGAAAATTTCCTTAGCATACTCATACAGCTCAAGATCAAGGTTATTGAGTGACTTTATCTCCTGAAGAACCGCTTCAGTGACCTGATGACGCGACTGCAGAGTCAAAGAGCCCTAATATTTAGCAGAGAAAAATGCTGAAATGCATCCAAAGCAATGTCAGAGAGGAACCTGGTTGGACTGAAGGAGCTCTTTGGCACCAACTAACCAAGCATAGCAACAATATCATATGCTGGACAAAGCCAGCATTTAGCATTGTTCAAAGTGAGCCAGAAGAGCCAGACCACTCACGATTATATGTCCGACACTTCCAAATATTTTTCAGGAGCAATTAGTTACATTATGACAGATACCATGTATTCCACATTAATAATAACAGCCAGATCTAACACGAAAAGCTACAGCAACAATGCTGAGTCAAAATAATCAGTAAGTCAATTCCAGACAACTTCGTATGTGGTCGAGGGAAGCATGCAGATAAAATGTGAAGCTCCTGTCTCTCATTTCCTAGTGAATAGTAAAACCTCCTATAACATCTTGCTTTTGACAGAAGCACCATGGCCAACTTAAGATGTCTTGTATCAGGAGTAAAACGTAAAAGTGCGTAAAAGCAAATGGAAGAACAATTAGCATCGCTCATTTGCTGGCCCAAGAAAAATTGGCATTGCCACTTTCAAGATGGAAAAGCATGAAGTTGAACACACCTCTTTCGTGAAATTCACAGGTGAGATTTCCTTCAAGGCAGAGATGTGGCGGTGGGACTTGGCATCACTAAAAGAAGATACGCAACTTTCATAAGATTCCCTAAGTTCTGCCCTTGTCATCTGACATGTACAAAATCTCACATGAACTTGTTTATCCAAGATGTGATTTCCTTCTATATTGGAAGATCTTACATGATAAAAAAAGCCTTACGTTTCTTTTACTTGCTTCATTGTTTCCCTCCGCAGAAACCTCAACATCTGAAGTGACATTCTACAAAAGGGCAGTAGAAGACAATGACGTATGAGGAAGCTCAGTTATTAGCTTCAATTGAGGAAAGCTCACATTCAGATAAATGCGCACATTTTGCAGCTATTTACCTGACTGTGATCATCATCAGGCTCGCTATCTGACAAGGAGCTCTGTTCTGCAGCAGATGTACATAAGTTCAGGAAAGCAAATGATGATAAATTGAATAGCATTGCCTCTATCTTGTTCTCCTAGAACATAAAGTAGATGAGAAGGTCATTGAAGCATGGCAAAACAAACTGAAGGACTAGGAATGCTCCTTCACCATAATCTTGAGGTTCAATGGTAACGATGAGAACAATTTTACCTATAATGTTAACACCGCCAGGATTCTGATGGAGCTAGTTATAGGTGAGTTGGTAACTTTTAAGTGGATACTACATTTGTTGCATAAAACGATGCATCTTAAGCATATCAGTTTGGGTATGCATGGACAATTAAAGGTCCAACAGGGTGACAGATTAGCATAGGAAGAAGGGTTGAAGAGGAAAAGAAAATTAATGAGGATCACATTTGATTTGGAATTTCAACTTAACTATTAAACCAAATTCTGTTCAAATGCATCGACAAACAGTACCTAGAGGCTAGAAATAGTACTAGTAGCACCACATGAACCTGATTTATTTGCAGCCACAGTCTCCACACCAGAGCTAGATCCTCTCAGTTGGGAAATTGCTTGTGCACCAACCACATCTGCAAACATTGTTGCAGATTTCTTATGGTCCTCAGTGAGACCAACATACAGCATATTATCCAATCTCCTCTGCAAGATTTACAACTATCTACCATGATCACAACCGCAAAGGTGCGATATCAGGAAAACAACATAAGAGCATGACCCATTACAACCCGATAACCAACTTTCCTCACCTTTGCAACTTCAAAGACATGTTGACCTAGTACTTTATGCTGCATAACACAGTGACGTACTTCATGTGACTCCGGAAAATACGAATTGTTAGTTAACCCTGCAACCTGTCAGCAAGAAGATTTAGCCAGAAATTGGTCTACTAAGGCCACTTTGTACTAGATTGCATGATATACAGAATCTTTTATACAAAAAAGACAGATTTTAGACCCAGAAAGTGAGCACAGATTTAGTAGAATTTTTGTGGGGCAGTGAAAAAACCGAGGATTAATTTTCTAGTTGTCATAAGCAGCATGAAGAGTACCAGTCTCTTCACGTCTGTGATCATCAGAAGCAAATTCTAGTGGAAAATACTAGTCTGTATACATCTAGTGGAGTTGATAACTTTTCATTGGTGGCATACCAAAAAATCAAAACCACCTGAATCTGTTGACAAGAGAACTCCAAAAAATTGTGAATGAACTCTTCCACATGTTTAGCAACCAAATAACAAGCCTCTTAGGAACACAAAGACGTGCCTCAGAAATGTTATGCCAACCCAAGAAAACTGAAGTTTATCAACAGGTACAGCTGCAAAATTTAATTTCATTATTGTTTCTGCATCAGTCATAACAAGAGCTCCGTGAACAAGCATGTGAAAATATTACACTCGCATCAAACAAAGGAGCTTCTATGTTACAGGTGTCCTCTCACGTCCTGTTAAGTTGATGCAAATTACTACACTAGACTTACATTACATGCAAGGCATCAAACAAACTTTTACTCAAGAGCGGCCTTTATCCTCAAGAAATTAATGGAAGAACCATTGTCAAGCCAATGGTTGCTTTCCCTATCACTTGGGAGCTTCCTTCAAAAGAATTTAAGGCATTTGAATAAAAAGTACATTCTTGCATATCGAGTAAAGACTTTCCACCTACAGTTACAACTCAACGAATTGACCTGCATGTTAACTTTTGAAGAAAGCTTACTATTTGAAGAAGAATATTCTATTCCATGCTTCAACAGCCAGAAATGGAACAGAATGAAACTGACGAGTGACACAGATTTATAAGAATTCAACTTACCTGAAACGTGGCACCATTGTGAATTATATCTTGAGCAATAGGATCGTTGATATACTTATGCAATGGCATTACAATGTCCTCCATATTGTATGGGTCGCTGCTATAGGTAGTCCTTGATCCTCTACGTCTTTTTGCATCTCTCTGTATAGAGAGAGAGAAAGAGGTAGCCCGTAAACCCATATGAAATGGAAGCGTATAACATATGGAGAGAGAGAGAGAGAGAGAGAGAGAGAGAGAGAGAGAGAGAGAGAGAGAGAGAGAGAGAGAGAGAGAGAGAGGGAGATCCAAGGAGATTGATCGGCTTTAGATTACTTCATCCACCAAACAAACATGTGAAGCATCCATCTCCATCTGTGGCAACTATGAATTTTTACTTTTCTCTATACGTCAGATTGATATCTTTGCAGCATGCCCTTAAAGTCATAAAAGGTCTCTGACAAAAATCAGTAGACCAGAAATATCCGTTGATCGTTGATCTACAAAAAATATGAGGAGATATAGATCTCAGATAACCAGCGTACCCTTGCAAATAGGTCTTCTCTCATCCAAGAAACTAGAAACTTCCATGGCCATATATCCATCGTACTTGTCTTGGAGCTCAAGCGTCCAGCCGTTGTTGTGGCGAAAGTTAAATTAGGGTATGCCAAAAATTCAGCCGCTAGCTCCACTGATAATTCGTACGTACTGAGAACACGATTAACGGGGTCTCTTAGTATGGTCACCACTGACGTTCTATCCTTGGGAAGTTTCGACATCAAGCTGTAGTCATCATGAGAGACCAACAACCTGCACTTTCGCTTGCTATGCAGGAGAAGAGAATCGGGTTAAACATCACAGATTGATTACAACACAAATGTCCAAAAAGGAAAAAGAATAGTAATACCTGGGATCAAAATTCAATGTATCATAAGAGCGAGGGCATTCCAGAGCACTAGAATACAACTTGTGCAAGAAACTGCAAGTATGAATTTAGCAAGAAAGAATTATACCGGTGGCTTGCCTGATTCAATGCACCTGACTTCTACGAGTATGCACTGCACCAACAGAGATTTGAGTTACCAGTGGAAGTATGTGCGTCCTCCTGTTCTTGGAACATGGAGGAAGAACAGCAAATCTCGCAGGGTGTGCTTGTCTGCTTTAACTTCTAGACTTAGTGCGGAAGAAGTCCACCTCTTCACTACATTCTCACAATGCCCAAAATCCCTTTTATGTGGAAAAGCATTAGCTGATAGAGAATTCAGGGAAAGTTAGAAGTCAAAATTGTTCATGTTGGTCCCCAAATTATTTCCCCAGACAATATGGTGACTCACACCAACTTCATCCCCAGGGTATGTTGAGTTCATTACAAAGCACTGATTGCAATGGAATTTAGATCCCAACTGGTACAGTAATGGCAGGGGAACAGCTACTCAATTGCAAGTCAGTAAACGGATTTCCTTACTCAATGTCACGAATCATAACTTCACGAATCGCACAAAGCATTCCTACCTATCATACTCACTTAAGAACAAAACCATAATACAACGTTTAACATCACAAGGAGAGAAAGAAACTGAAGAGGGTGAAAAAATGAAGATGGGATTCAGAAATCAGAATGTGCTCACACGTACCCAATCCAAGAAGAATCAGCAAAATAGCAAACCTCGGGCTCGGAGTGGGATCCATCAGCCTCATCCTACTCCAACAGCTGCTCTGTACAAAATTTTAACAAGACATCAACAAACAAGTTTTTACAAGTCCAACAAAAACAGTTGAAAAAATGGACTTTATTCTTATGTTTCTAATTCCAATGTTTATTAGATCAGTGCCAAAGTCCATTTCGAATTTAGAACTGTCTTTAATAACACCCATCAGATAATCTCCGCAACTTTTTCAAAACAAAAGGTTCCGATGCATTAGCCAATATGGGAAAAGCTCTGGAGCCCAATTACGCATATCTTGATGCTCCAACCAAAATGAAAGGCAACAGCTTTTATATATGAATTGAACGGGCAAGAAAATCCCAAGCTTCCTTTAGTTTGGTTCTAGTCAGTTGTCACCATGCCTGTCTTTAGGATAGCAGTCACAATGAAACGACCAACCAAATTCACTATTTGAGACGTAACTTATTTCCATTTTCAATTTTGTTCGGATTATTCTTCGAGCTTAGTAAACGTTTCAAAAGAAATGGAACTGTGATTGTCTGAATCATCTTCGCGGAGTAATAGGCCTTGTTAATCCAATGCGGAGCATTGATTAGATGGAGCAATTTTGTTTGTGTGGTGGTGTTGCAGTCAAAAACTAGTTTTTTTTTGTTTTGATCGGTCAAAAAAAAAAAAACTAGTTTAAAATATATAATTTATACAAGTAAAATGATACAGCATTATCAGACCAAAAAAAAGTTAGAACATAGTAAACAACATTCATAATCCTATATCAAAGGATAAGAAAGATTCTTACTTATTAATTTGATAAAAACATTTCTATATGGTATAAATCTGCGTAAATTTGAACAGACGACCATTGGAGTATCATGAATCTGACTACAGAATTGCATAGTCTTAGTCAATGAAATTTCTTAAAGAAAACGAACTAAACCTATGATCAAAAATGTTTTCACCAGCAAAAGTATATTTATAAACCAAGTAAATTCCGACAAACACCCCATGTCTTCAAATCAACTTGGGTTTCATTTCATTCACACAGGACATGTCGTAAGGCATGAAATTTTCTGATATAAGATCTGACCTCGTGTTGTGCTCAACTACGACTCGTGAACTAATTTCAGCTATTTTCGTGGAAACCCAGAACCTTAAAACTATAATTCAAAGAGAGAAATGAATAATGGACCAAGGTAAACGGGCTCAAATCAGGGAGCAACAAGAGGGGCAGAGAGAGATTTTCAGATAAGGCGAGAAGAGAAACGTAGCTATAATTTACATTTATGGCGGTTATTAATTTTAACCATTAAAGTTGCATTATAATTTCGCTACCAATTGAAGAATTAATTCTCTCGTTACATATAATATCATAACGGACGATATAGAACAATTGTAAGAAAGTACCCTTGTCGGATTCCCTTGTTGAGAGCAGATGTTAAACTCACCTCTCCATTAATTCCATAAGACTGCAAATTATTAAAGGAGGAGCCTTGAAAAATTACGAAACCGACGCCCCCATAAAGGTGCAAGCTGACTTGGAAGTTGGGACAATGACTGGAGTTTGCACATAAATTAGAATTTAAATGATATTAAATTATAAGGCCTCCAAACAGATCTACAAAGATACTATGTCAGCAGCTCTAGGAGCCTCTTGAATTTGCTTTCAAATGGCTCACGGAATGCTAATAAATGCATTAGCCTCATATCATACTATAGATCAGTGACTATCAATTCAACCTGAAAGGGGGTTTAACAAACAAATTGAGAAACAAAGTGAAGGCTACATTTAGAAGCAAAGAGGAATTAAAAGGACTCCTTCCTATCAGAAAAATAAAGTAAGTATCATCTCAAGAACCTCTTCTTCTTCTTTTTCAGACCGGAGGCATGTCAACATGTACCGCATTGTCGCCGTATCAAAATTAATCTCTCTCTACCACCCAGAGAGACTTTAGACCTTGCGATCTGTAATAATTTTTGGGAAGCAATTACATTCATATCTTCACTTTTGATGTTCTTCTCCTAGCATTTACAAAAAGAATAAAGAATACGAGGAGCAATATGATGGGCAAGAATAAGAAAACGCGGTTCCAAAGTGAAGTGCCATATGAACTGGTTATCATGTCCTCTAATTTCTCCTGCAAAATAAAATGAGGGAACATTACTCACTCAGTTGTGCTTATCAGTAGTAGGATTGGTTAACGAAATTTAATGAAATCTTTCCCTTCTTATGGCGGTACAAAGCTGAATACTTAACTGTAACAACGGACTTTTGGGTGGACCGTCTATGTTCCTGAGCAAAAATATCCTTAGCATACTCATAGAGCTCCAAATCAAGATTATTCAGTGATTTTATCTCCTGAAGAACCGCTTCACCGACCTGACGACGTGACTGCAGATTCAAAGTGTCCAAAAATTAGCAGGAAATACGTGGAAATGTTTCCAAAGGAATAACAGAAAGCAACTGCGTTGGACTGGAGGAAATCTTTCGAAGGAACTAACCAAGCATAGTAAAAATGTCATGCAGGACACAGTGAGCATTTAGCTTTATTAAAAAAAGAGTGAGCTAGAAGAATTAGGCTAATATATGCATGACACTTCAAATATCTTTTAAGAGCAGCGGTTAAAATTATGACAGATACCCTGTATTCAACATTTATAATAACAACCAGATCTAACAGGAGAAGCTACACAACAACAATCCTGAGTCAAAATTTTATCTACGTAATGGACAAGTCAATTCTAGACAACTCGGTATGTGAGTGATGGAAGGAAGCACACAGATAAAATGTGAACCTCTTATCGCTCGTTTCCATGTGAATAGTAAATCTCTTATATAATCTTTCTTTTGACAGAAGAATTTCATTTTCAGCAAACCCAAAATATATTATATCTGGGGTAAAAAGTAATTAATTTGAAGTAAAAGAATAATTAGCATCACTACTTTCAAGAAGCAAAAGCATAAAGTTGACCGCACCCCTTTCGTAAAATTCGCAGGGGAGATTTTCTTCAAGGAAGAGATGCGGCGGAGAGACTGGGACTTCCTCAAAGTAGATGTGCAACGTTCATAAGATTCCATAAGTTCTCCCACTGTCATCTGAAATATACAAGATCTACCATGAACTTACTTATCCAAGATGCAATTTCCTTACACAGTAGAAGATACAACGCGAAAAAAATGCCCTACATTTTCTTTACTTGCTTCACTAATTTCCTTCATAGAAACCTCAAATTCCAAAGTGGCATTCTGCAAAAAGGCAGTAGAAAACAATGAGGAGACAAGGAAACTCAATTTTTATTAGCAACGATTGAGGAAGGTTTACATTCAGCAAAATGCACACACTCTGCTACTACCTACCTGACTGTGTTCGTCATCAGGCTCGCTGTCTGACAAGGAGCTCTGTTCTGCAACAGATGTACATAACTTCAGGTAAGGAAATGATGATAAACCCTTGAATCTTGTTCTTATGGAACTCAGAGATGGAAGGCCATTGAAGCATGGCAAAACAAGCTGAAGGACAAGGAATCCTCCTTTAACATAAACTAGCAGTTCAACAGAAAAACACAAGAATTCTGATAGAGATCCAACTGGTGTGAAGTAGCTAAGGAAGAAGGGTAGAAGTACATAAATTGACCAGCAAATTTGGTCCAGAAGATCAACTTATCTATTCAACCATATTCAGTAAAACCAGTTCATAAGAACCAACAAACCGTACCTCGAGGCTAGAAACAGTAATAATAGCACCACATGTACCTAATTTATTTGTTGCCGCAGTCTGCACATCAGAGCTAGATCCTCTCAATTGAGAAATTACTTGCGCACCAACCACATCTGCAAACATTGTTGCAGATTCCCTATGGTCCTCGGTGAGACCAACGTACAGCATATGGTTCAATCTCCTCTGCAAGATTTACAATTATCTACCATGATCACAACCGCAAAAGGACAACACAATATTAGGAAAACAATATAAGAGCATGATCCATTCAAACCCAATAACCAATTTTACCGACCTTTGCAACTTCAAGGACAAGTTCACCCAGTTCTTCGTGCTGCATAACACAGTGACGCACTTCATGTGACTCCGCAAAATAGGAATTATTAGTTAACCCTGCAATCTGTCAGCGAGAAAATTTAGCCTGAGATTGGTCTATTTAGGCCACTACATACTAGATTTTAAGATATATAGAATCTTGTCAGACAAGACAGGTTCACGACACCAGAATCTCAGCACAAGTTTGGTTTTAAAACTTTTGTAGGGCAGTTAGAAAAATAAGAATGATTTTCCAGTTGTCATAAGCAGAATGCCGAATACCTTGTCTTTACTCGGTAATCATCAAAAGCAAATTCTATAGACATCACTTACCAGGCAATCTGGTGGAATTAATGAACCTCCTATCTCTATAAACTAGAGAACTCCAAAAAATTGTGCAATAAACTCTTCCCTCATAATAGGGTATGCTTAGCAACCAAATAACAAGTCTCTTATCAACACAAAGACAAGGCCTCAAACACATCACACCAACACAAGAAAACTGAAGTTCATTGACAGGTACCACCGCAAGACTAGCTCTGTGAATTAGCATGTGAATTCCACACTCTCATCAAACAAAGGAACTCCTCTGTTCCTAATGTCCTTTAAGGCTCTGTTCTCCTTTCTTCGGAAAGTTGATGCAAATTACTACACTGTATGTTAAGTGCATGTCAGGCATCGACCAAATTTTTACTCAAGAGTAGCATTTATCCTCAAGGAACAGAAGAACCGTCATCAAACAAATGGTTGCTTCTCTATCCCATCTAGACTTCCTTCCAGAGAACCTTGGCACTTGAATAAAAAGTACATTTCACATCTCAGAATAAGGCCTTTAACCTATGTTTCATCTTAAAATTTAACCAGAATATTAATTTTGAAAGAAAGATCACAATTTTAAGGAAGAAGGGTGAAACTCACGCTTCAACCGCCTGGAAACGAAACAGACATGAAATGGACAAGTAACACAGATTTAAATAGATTCAACTTACCTGAAACGTGAGACCATTGTGAATTATATCTCGAGCAATAGGGTCGTTGATATACTTATGCAATGGCATTACCATGTCCTCCATATTGTAGGGGTCGCTGCCATAGATATCCCTGGATCCACTATGCCTTCTCGCATCTCTCTGTCGAGAAACAGGCTGCTAGTAAACACATATGGAACAGCAGCATATAACACAAAACAGACCATTTAATTACAGAAAACAACAACAGCATACAACACAGGGTCGTGGAGCATTGATTTTTATAACCCCCCCCCCCCCCCCCCCGTCCTCTCGCCCAGAATTTCCCGGCAGCTCCTTCCCAGGAGATTGATCTGCTTAGATTACTTTATCCACTAGACAAACAAGTGAATCATCCATCTTCATCTAAAGGTCTCCAACAAAAATCAGTTGGCCAGAAATATCCGATGATCATCGATAGAGGCAAAAAAAATGGAGAAAATATCTAGTATCATGCAATATAACAAGCGTACCCTTGCAAATAGGTCTTCTCTCATCCAAGGAACTAGATACTTCCATGGCCATATATCCAGTGTACTAACTGCATATCCTTTAGTCTTGCGCAAGCGCCCAGCCATTCTTGTGGCAGATGTTAAATTAGGGTGCACCAAAAATCTAGCTGCTACCTCCACCGAGAATTCATATGTACTGAAAACACGATCGACTGGGTCTCTTATTATGGTCACCACTGATGTTCTATCCTTAGGAAGTTTTGACATCATGCTATAGTCATCATGAGTGACCAACAACCTGCACTTTGGCGTCCTACACAGTGGCAGAGAATCGGGTTAAGCATAAAAAATTATGCACAACACAAATGTCAAAAAGGGGAAAAAAAGGTCATACCTGGGATCAAACCTCAATTTATCATAAGAGCGAGGGCATTCCAGAGCACTAGGATACAACTTCCTCAGGAAACTGCAAGTACAGATTTAGCAAGAAGGAATCACACTGGTGGGTCGTCCGATGTATGCACCAATAACTACGACTAAGCGCTCTGCAGCAAGAGAGATTTGAATTACCAGTGAAAGTACGTACGTCCTCCTGTTCTTGGAACATGGAGAAAGAACAGCAAGTCTCGCAGGGTGTGTTTGTCTTCTTTAACTTCTAGACTAGGTGCAGAAGAAGCCCACTTCTTCACTACATTCTCACAATGCCCAAAATCCCTTTTGTGAGGGGAAGCATTAGCTGATAGAGAAACCAGGGAAAGTTAAAAACCCCATTGAGCTAAAAGCCAAGCTTAGAAGTTATATGTACATGATCAACCCTAATATTTTCCCAAACACTCTGGTCATTCACACAAACTTCATCCTCCTAGTACCATGTAATATATGACAAAGCACTGATTGCAATAGAATTATATCTCAACCGAGCTGCAAAGGAGGGAAGCAACTACTCAGTTTCAAGCCAGTAAATGGAATTCCATACTTAATCTCGTGACTTGGAAGATCGCACAAAGCATCCCTTCTTATCACTCTCGCTTAAGACAAAACAATAATACAACATTCAGCATTACAAGGTGGGAAAGAAGCTAAGGGCGGTGAAAAATGAAGATGGGATTCGGAATCTGCCCCCCACTTACCCAATGCAAGAAGAATCAGCAAAATAGCAAGCCTCAGGCTTAGAGTAGGATCCATCAGCCTCATCCTACTCCAACACCAGCTAGAACGAAATCTGACAAAACAATCGGCAAACAAGTCCTTATAAGTCTCTCCAGCTAGACCCATACCAACCAGAACAGTTTAAAAAAATTGAACTGAAACGCTACATCATATTCCTTAGCCTTTACTTCAAAACTATCAGATCAATGTCACGCTCCATTACAAATTTAGCAGTGCCCAGCTAGCACCTAGTAGCAACTCAAATAACACCTTTCCTCTCCCATTTGAAAAAAAAAGAACTCATTGGATAATCCATGCAACCTTCTCAAACAAAACCCAAAAAGAAAAAAACTCCAGCCAAAACGAAAGGCGCGAGCTTTCTCAAACGAATCAAACGGACACGTCCTGTCAATTGAAGAACCAGAATCGACATACCAATAAAGAGGGCCTTCTTTTCTTATTCAAAAGATAAACCCTGATCACAGAATTTCGAGACAAGCTAAAAACCGAAGCATGGCGACGATGTCGAAATGCGGAACGGCATAAAAATTTGTCTTTTTTTTTTTCTTTTAATAAGACCATACGGCACGAAGTGGACCTACCCCCTGTATGTGTGTACTGCAGGCGACTCCCGAAGCCTCGTGCTCTTAAATTCTTCTCGATCTCCGTGGCTGGCTCCGCCAGACAAGGCCTCACGATAACCGGTGCCCCACCACCACTTTCGCAATTACCAGCGATCTTCTCGGCATCCGAACAAGGGGACCGATTGCCGGGCGGAGATAGCAAGAATTGCCCCTCCTCCGTAGCGGCGAGCGACCTCAAGAAGACCTCCGCCGCAAGGAGGAGGAGGGAGCATGAGAGAGAGAGAGAGAGTCAGCAGCGACTCGATTGGAAGAGAGCAGAGAGGGAAACACGTTTGACGACGACGACGATCGCAGCAGTGAGGGAGTGGTGCGTGTCGCTGTCGGGAGGAGGAGAGGGACCGGAATGGTAAAAATGGAATCGGGCAATTATGACAAAAACCAAAAAATTAATTTGCAAATTTTTTTAATTTGATTTTGTTTTTTCGGTCGAATAATGGGATTTTGTTAATCCGCCCGAAAAGGTAACCCAATTAAGAAAATTACTAAAGTAATATTTAACTGCTAAACTAAGATACTCGTTGATAAATGCATAAATTTTCTCGTCTCATGTGTGATTGATATTTAAAAAGGTAAAATATTTCTTATTAGTTATCTGAATGCGCTTTGTGCGAGAACATATTTGTAAATATTTCTTTTTCGTATGTCTGTACCCGAATAAGAATTTTTTATCTGAAATTAGATCGGAATTCGTTATCGTTATAAATTGTTAATTTCAATGATTGGAGTACAATCTCTTCTCTTCTTACGATCGTAAAAATTGTATGATCCTTTCTTCTGACTAACACGATGATGAGCACCATAAGGGCTGAAAAAAAAATTTCACTTTCCATGAAATGGCAATTTCGCAGTAGGTCTTCGTTTGTGAGGACACTAAATGAAGGCTTATTGTCTACAGAGAAGAGGAAAGCAGCTATGATCCTCATGCTTAAACCTAATAGATTCTACACATAATTTTAGATTTAAACAAAATATTCAATCTATTTCAAATTTCACTAAAATATATATCATTGTAATTTATGTTATTGACTAATTTTTTTAACAATAAAAATTTATGAACTTATCTCTCGTTATCTGATTTTTTTATAACAATATTTCGAATTTAAATCAAGTGTGTCTTGTAAAAAAAAAATTCATTATCATTTTTTGCTAAAAACAAATTTGCTTCAAATGATGTGAGCTATATTTAAAATAAGTGAATTTCAAAATGAGGAAATAAAACTAAATGAAATGTAACGTGCATGGTTCAAATTGCAATTTTTTATTCTTTTATTGCTATAAATATGGTGGATATTAAATGAAATTTAATCAAGCAATAAAATTAGCCATCCTTCAAAATAAAGTTGATTCATTTTTAAATTGAATGATAAGTAATGCAATCTTTAATGTAATTGACAAAAGCTATATGTCAAATTATTACTATTGTCCTTCTTAAGAATATAAATTTCTCTTTTTTGACTTAATTTCAAATCAAATGAATAAATTATATATTTAAAGATATTTTATTTTCATTTTTTTCTCTTTTCAAATTTAAGATGAACGAAATAAGTTGAAAGAAATGAATGTTTGGAAAAGATAAAAAGAAACTTATTTCAAGATATACATATTTATTATTATTTTTATCTATTTTACAACTCAATATACTTAAACATGCTTGCTCTCAATCCATTTCTAAATTACACGTGCACATTCTTTATCCGTTCTTACATTCAAAATTTGATAAGTGATGAAAGTTTGAGGACAACAAATCACCAAACTAATGCTAATTGGTCGAGTACGGGCTGTGTGGCACAACTATGCCCACGCGGTAATCACAAAAATAAAGTTGGGTGTCATGTGACGATCTTCAAAGTAAAATATTCTCTCAATTTCGACTTCAACTATACATCAAGAAATAAACTATTCAAGGCAACCGTCGACAATACTCTTTTATCTTGACAATAAACAAATTGGAGGTGCCCCCACTCCTTTATTCGTATTAATCTTTTCATATACAATTCCGGGTTTGAAATCTGGAATAGAAAGGACAAGCAAGATCGAGGGAGAGCATTGGGAACAGACGCAGGGCTTATAGGGGCGACCCAAGTGTCCGTGAACAAGACAGATTGGGCGGGGGGGGGCACTGCCCTTTTCGATGCTTTTGCCCACTATGGAATGTTGGGCTTTTTTTGCCTTTGTTTTTTGTTGGTGTTTACTGTTTATAGTCAACATGAGATGGACCCTTCCTAACTACATTCATCTCTCGATCTATCTTACATGAACTATGTTGGCCACAATCTACTTTTAGTGGTTTAGCATGTTGTGTTGTGGCAAGAGAAAATGGTATGTCGTTTCTGGCTAGTTACATTGATCTCTTCATCCCACTCATTTAAGATGATGAGGACATGTGGCATCATCACTGTCAGAAGTGCCTCTACGTTAGAAAAAAAGATAAAACCACTATGAAGTGAATCCCCACACGCTTGTCGATTTTCTTTGTTGTTGTTCTGGTAGAATGCGAATTTTGCCACATTTAATGTGATTGAATTAACGAATGTGCGTCTGTACTAAAATTACAAACTACACCCCCTTTTCTCTTCCGCAACCCTACCGAGCAAAGCTTGCCATGCTGCCAGATGAGATACAGAGAACAGGAGGTACCATCATATCACTGTTTGAGAAGAACTGACCTTGCTGCATCCAGATGGTTAAGCCGGCAAGTTCCCAGAAGATACTCGGGCAGCTCGTCTTCTGTGTTAGCCTGATGAGAACAGACAATCCGTGCACCAGTGGGGTTCAGAAATAAAATAAGAGGGACCGAAATGAATATGAAGTAATAGTTGGTGGAACAAATGCACAGTAAACATAAAGGATGCATTTGGTAACCATTCTATTCCCAAAAACAATTTTTGCTCATAAATGATTTTTTTTTATTCCATTCCCGAAAACAATTTCTAAGCATTTGAAAGCGTTTGGTAACTGCCCAAAATTTCTATTCTTGGAATAAAAAAGAACAAAAATACGTTTGGTAACTACACAAAATTTCTTTTTATTAATAATATTTTAAATTTTTTAATATTTCTTATATTTTATTTTTCTTCTTCCCCTTCCTTGGCCCATGGCCAGGTCGTCGGCGCCGGCGACCAGCCACGGCTAGGGCCGGCAAGGGCATCGCGGCCCTCGCCCAGGCGCCAAGGGTCCAGCCCTCGCAGGCCACCAGAGAGGGCCGCAACGCCCTCGTCGGTGGCCGGCGGCCAGCAACCGGCCTGTAGAAAATGAAGAAGAAAACCAAGGAGAAGAAGAAGAAAAAAAATTCTTTTCCATTTCTGATTCTTGTTCCCAGAATAAAAAAATTAACATTTTTTTGCTTCTTGATTTTGTTTCAAAACTAATTCTGGGAACAAATTTGTACAAATTTGTGCCCGGAAACAAAAAATTTACCAAACGGATTTCTGTTCTTTTTTTGTTCTCGGGAACAAAAAAATAGAATCAGTCACTATTTGGCAAGTGACCAAACGCACCCTATTAAGACGGCAAAATGAAACTTCTGTAACAACTTAAACGAAATGAACACTTCTACCTGCACCAAGAATGCCATTTCGATAACCAGGTTGTTAAGGTAACCGAGTACCAGACTAACCACTCCCCTGGCTACTGTTGAGGACCCAATGTCGATCCCAAGCTGTAATTCGTATTTAGGGTTAGCATGCTTTGACGTGAAAATTTTCTACATGAGGTCTCAACTTTGTGATTTATATTTTCAGTCTTTCAATGCAGTGAATGGGTTAACAACCGACAAGCCCTAGCACAGGCATTGTGATCATGTAATGTTACATGATCAATGAGGTAAATGCACAAATGGGATGAATCCAAGAAGAAATGATAAATGGCTAAGCATGTTCAGTGGCAAAACGGTCAAAAGAACATCTGAATGCCAAGATGAAAATTCTTTTAAAACTATCAATACAAATGCACCATTGTATTCCAATATATATCTGATAGTGTCATGCCAAGTTCAAGTAATCGAATCCCACGAAGCTAAAACGCACTGGAGTTACCTCCAAGTAGTTACTCCCGTGAAAATAATTGATTTGCAGTGCTTGGCCAATCAGGCAGGCTTTTTTTCCCACACTCTGCTTAACTATCCAGGAACCCTGAAAAATAAGGAAAAGAATTAACAAGGTTAATGGAACATACAAAAGAAGTTGGTCATGCCACTAAACAAAATGTATACATCAAATTGAGCTAATCTGCATAGCATAGCACCTAATTGGAGGCAGATATTTTCCTGTCTGGTCGTGTTCTACTATAGTCATGTAACTGAGTAGATATCGAACCTCAAGATAAAAAAATGCGAGGTAAACTTGAGAAGAACAAGTGAATTGTTTATGGTTACCTGTGCAGTACATTGGGTGGATAAACCATCTTGTCAGGTCATTCAGTGAAATCACGAAAGTATACTGCTAGGTTCTTAAATATCAAAGCAATCATGAAGGATACTGACCTTTGAAATATAAGGTATAAGCTTGAACCTTGAATTTCTATATGCATCATCCCCCTTGACAAAGCTCTCCAGTAGGGGTGCATCTTTCAGGGGAGTGCTCATCATGTAGTATAGTGCTAGGCTGTAGGTTGTTGATCCAGGTACCTGCTTCACAGGACATGAATCTTTATAACCAATAATGGCAATGACATCAAGCTCGGTTAACATAGATAAGAGAAAATATTTGCCTGTATGTTTACAATATAAAAGAACTCTGATCCACCCTGGGCTGCATATTTCTGCATAACAAAGTCAGCATGTTCAGAAAGCTCATAAATGCCACCATGTTGAGACAAACACACGCGAATTTAGCGAAGAGGTTATTTAAATTATTGGATTTAAGTTTGAACCTGAACAATACTCCCCGGCCTTCCTCCAAGATCATCTTCCCTTTTGTCAGATCTTAGCCAATCTGCAGCAACCATTTGCACCAAGGTTCCTTTTGCTTTAACCTGGAGGTAAGTTCATAAGCAATAACATCAGAGAGAGAGAGAGAGAGAGAGTAAAATATGATGTCTTTCTATCGAGAAATGACACTACAAGAACATTGGTCATATGAAAAAACTTCACCACTAGGTACTTCCACTGAAGAGTTAACTGTCAATTCATTCACCTAGTATTATGTGGATCCATTGCATGAAAAGAGTCCACAGAAGCCAACCAATCAATGGTTCTCTGAGGTAACAATGAAAGTGGTCATGTAAACAAGTGCCTAAGGCCTTATGGCAAAACAAAATAAAAAAGAAAAGAAAAGAAAAAGTGCCTTGGCCAAC